GGGAAACATGTTCATTTTAGAGAAGGAAGTTGGAGCCCTGGGGTGCTAGTTTGCTGAGGTTCTGGGATGCTGGAATACAGGATGGGATGCAGGGATGCGGGGATGCGGGGATGCGGGGATGCTGGCATGCTAGATGGGATGTGGGGATGCTGTGTACTAGCCAGATCTGCCATCACATCCTCACTCTTTCTCTTCTTCACTTACTTTGCCACCAGTGTCCTCTGAACTAAAGTCATGACACTCGGGCGGGATTGGGGGGGGGGGTGTCCTTCCCAGGCCATCTCTAGATGATTCCATGTGAAACAGGTCAGTGCGTGGAAAAAGCCAGCTCATCAGAAACAGGTAACTTCGGTGTTTTCCTCCATCCTGGATTGGCAGAATCCCAGGACCCTGCCCTTGTTTCTACTCTCTAGGGATCCAGGGACAGCTTTCACAGAAGCCCACTTCCGATTGGGCCACGCGGGAGGATCAGCCTTCTGGCCTCCATAAGTGAACTCACAACTTTCCCACAGTGGCCAATCCTTCATTTCTGCCTGTGGAGCCCCTCCCTTCTACTTGGAAAAGCTGTGCATACAGGCATGTAACAGCTGAGGCTGTCTCTGCCGTGCTCTGGGTCCCAGAGAGAGGGGAGTGGAGTCTTGGTGCCTGATGCAATGTCTGGCAAAGCACAGCCTCTTATCTGAGCTTCGCTCTCAGTCTCCTTACTGGGACCCCTCCAGAAGGATGGAGGCAGGGATGGACTGCAATCCATCAGGGGTCTCAGTGGAAGAGCCTGGCTGGAGGCCATCCAAGTGGGAACCAGATCTCCAGTGAGGCAGTTTGCCAAGTCATGGGAGAGGCCTGAACAGAAAGACCCCTGAGGAGACGGTAGGGAAGGGAAGCTGGTGTCCTGCTTGGCAAGGCTCCTCCACCTCAGCTGCCTCCCTCCCTTTCTGAACCACCAGTTGCCACAGGGCCTTTTCCACCCGCCCCCATAAGCACACAGCTGTTAGAGTCCTGAGCAGAAAGTCCCCAAGAAATGAGAATTCAATACTGAGGTGTGACGTCTTACCCTTGGTTCACCTACCCTGCATCCTAGCAGATGTTCACGGCAGATGCCCAGTGTGCCCTCTCCCATGTGAGTCACTCATGCATGGGACTAGTGAGCATTCTTCTTTCCCCTGGTACTGTCTATCAACATAGAATGTAAGCATCTTACACTGGGCTAAATATTATTGGACGGACAACTATCCATCCATCCATCCATCTTTTCATTCATGTCCCCCTCCTTACTGACTTTCACTAATAGGGCGATATTGAAATTATTTTTCAGGGCAAGTATGTGTAGAACAGAACTAGGTTTATTATGGAGAGGTGAGAGAATGTGTGTGCACATGTTAAACCTAAGCATGGACAGTCAGAAGGAGACTAAGCCCAGTGTTGTATCAATAACTAGTATGACTTCATGGCTTTATGCTATAGTATGCAAATGTAATCTCTCTCTCTCTCTCTCTCTCTCTCTCTCTCTCTCTCTCTTCTCTCTTTTTTTCTGACTTTTTTTTTAAATTATTTATTATGTATACAACATTCTGCCTCCACATATGCCTGCAGCCAGAAGAGGCCACCAGATCTCATTACGAATGGTTATGAGTCACCATGTGGTTGCTGGGAATTGAACTCAGGACCTATGGAAGAGCAGCCAGTGCTCTTAACCCTTAACTTCTGAGCCAAGGTTTCTGACATTTTTTTTTTGAGACAGGGCTGCTCTGTGGCTTTGGAGGCTGTCCTGGAACTAACTCTTGTAGACCAGGCTGGTCTCAAACTCACAGAAATCAACCTGCCTCTGCCTCCCAAGTGCTGGGATGAAAGGCATGTACTGCCATGCCTGGCCGATTGGTATTTTGTTTTTAGCTTTTAAACAACTTTCATTTGTAAGTGAAATGAGTTGTAAGGTGTTACTGACATGCATTGCTCAGATCTGTGGTGGACAGAAGTGCAGATAAGGTCGCAGAGGTCTTCGGTCCTGTGTTTCTAATCAAGTGTGGTGCGTTTGTTGTATAAAACTCCTCCTTTGGGATATCTTAGAAAAATGAGTTTTGGGCCTATGGCAGTCTTTACTGATTTTGCCAGTTTCATGAACAAGAAACCTAAACTAGATCCCATGGGGGAGGGGCTTCTTCCTCTTCCCATGCCACCTTGGCTTTCCTGTCTCTCTATCCAGCCTTACCTGGAACACAAAGGCCTTGGAGACATCCCAGCGGAAAAAGAACTTTTGCATTCAGGAAAGCAAGCATGCATAGGAAAAAAGGGAAAGTGATGGAGGTGGGCAGATAAAGACTTGGAGGAGAGGACATTGCAGCAAGCCCTGCACGCTAAGTCAACAGAGAAGGAATGGGGTGTTTTGAGAGTTATTTTTTGTTGTTTTTTTGTTTTTTGTTTGTTTGCTTGCTTGCTTCTCTGGGCCATACTGGAGGAAGGAGAATGGTCTTGGGGCACACATTAAGAAGAACAAACTCAAGAACAACAACAATGACAACAACAACAACAACAAATTCCCCACTTGATACCACATAGAACGCACCCTCAGGTGGGGAGTAGCAGAAAGGACTGGGCCGGATGGTGCCCACAGAGGCTGGGAGTGAAATGTGGCTCCCATCCTTAGGGCCTTGGAGGGCTTCTGTTCTGCTCTGAGTTGTGCATGAGGGTTTTCAGAAGTTAGAGTCACCCCAAGTACTGGGCTGGGTGTCTGAGACACTCCCCACTTCAAAGCTGTGTCCACCCAGGTATGTCCAGGTGCTCGTGGGTGCCCCCGTGTGTTGGAGGCGGGAAGAGTTGGGGAGAGGAATGTGGATAGGGAACATGAACATAACCTTGCTCATGGTCCAGAAGAGGAGTGATGCTGAAATGGGGGCTGCCATCGCCTAAGGAGAGAGTAAAGAGTAAAGGAAGAGTGCACCCATGCCATCCCAGAGGATGCCTCAACAGAGAATGGTCAGAGGGCAGGAGGGGAAGAGAGATGGCCTGGAGGCAGGGGCAGGCAGTGCAGCCCCCAGGATGAAATGCAGCAAGGGCCACCCTCGCACTGGACGTGACTGAGAACTCTCCCATGGCGTTATTTAAGGGAGAAAAGGTCATTGCAGAAGGAGAGGGCCGAGAGACAAAGGCCAGGGGAAGGTATGAGGCAGGAGGATGATGCTCTTGAGAACTGTGTGGCTGATTGGCATGAGTGGTGAATGAGAATGTGTCCCAGGCAATACTCACCACCATCTCCCAGAAGGGAAGACTGGGTGCTGCTCCTTCAGCATTGCTAGGGCCTGGCACACATGGCCCTCACCAAATGGAAGCTGCTATAGAGGAACTCGGAGGAACAGGTATGTGTGACCACTGCTGGTTTTATGCCATGCTGGGGATCAAACCCAGGACCACCTGAGCCACAACCCTGTGTTATGCTGTGGTGTGGCAGGTAGCTCAGCATGTTAGTTTATACTAGTATCACAACATGTGACACTGGTAGCTGTGATGCCATTAACCTATCAGGATTCTGCAGCTCCATGACTCCATTATAGCTGTGGGGACCAGTGGCTTCAGCTGTCCTTTATCTAAATATCCTGTGTGATGCTTGACTGTGCATGCCTTTAACCTGTGAGGTCAATAGAGAAACTCAGGGAAATGGAGTAGATAAAAGGGTTTGTCATTCATTCATTCATTTATTCAGGTCTCATTATGTAGTTGTCTGGCCCAGCAGAACTCTGCATCTCAAACTAGCATTGAATTTTTAAAAATGTTCCTTCTTTTAGTCTCCTAGGTTTACAAAGTCTGTGCTATCAACTCCTGGCTCCTGGTTAGCATCTTGGGTGTTTTACTGCCATTTTGTTTGTTTTTAAGGGAAAGTGGGCAAAGTTTATTGGATAGACTATCAGCTGCTAGAAGCTGTGCTTTTTGTTTATCATGGGACCTTTTTTAAAAGACTTATTTTATGCATGAGTGTTCTGACTGCATGTATGTCCATGTACTATTTACATGCAGTGGCCATGGAGACAAAGAGGACATCAGATCCCTTGGAACTGGAATTATAGATTGCTGTGAGCTGCCATATGGGTTCTGGGAATTGATCCTGGGTCCTCTTCAAGAGCATGGGGTGTTCTTAATCACTCAGCTATCTCTCTGGCACCTATTTTTGGTTTTCGTTTTGAGGCAGGATCAAAAGGCTGGTCTCAAATGCACTGTGTAGATGAAGCAGGCCTTGAACTCCTGATTCTTCCTGCCTTCCCTCCAGAGTGCTGGCCTCTGACCTTTTAATGACCTATTAAAGAAACCCCAACCAGGTGTGATGGAGTCACCTGTAATCCCAGATCTTAGGGGGTTGGGGCAGGTGGATAAAGAGGTACAAACCATCCTGAACTACATAGAGAGGGTCTGTCTCAAACGAGAGACAAGGGCTGGGGCTGGAGAGATGGTTCAGAGGTTAAGAGCACTGGCTGCTCTTCCAGAGGTTCTGAGTTCAATTCCCAGCATTCACATGGTGGCTCACAACCATCCGTAATGAGATCTGGTGCCCTTCCCTAGTCTGCAGGCATACATGCAGGCAAAAACACTATATAAATAATATATAATATAAAAACATAATTAATAAATAAAGAAATGCCAGGAGTTGGTGGCAGATGCCTTTAATCCCAACACTAGGGAGGCAGAGGCAGGTGGATCTCTGTGAAGTTCGAGGCCAGCCTGGTCTTCAGAGCAAGTGCCAGGATAGGCTCCAAAGCTACACAGAGAAACCCTATCTTGAAAAACCAAAAAGAGAGGGGGGAAGCGAGGGCACCTGAAGTCTTTGGTTTTAAGAGTGGGTCTGGGGTCTCTCCTCAAAAGTTGGTGGAAAGATGTCTCTGGTCCCAGTTTATAGGCGGGGGGGCCCTGAGGACCTGTCTCTCCATAGGATAAGGGTGTCCCCCACCTGAAGAAGACGAATTGGGTCCCAAGCCGTGCCCTTGAGCTGAGTCCCTGCAGCCAGCCAGAGGAGTCGCATGGCCTCACCTTTCCCCATGGATAAAGGACTCACTCTGCCCCAGGACTTTGTACACAGTCTGAAGATTCGGGGCAAATACGCCCTGTTCCTGGCATTTGTGGTCATAGTTTTTGTCTTCATTGAAAAGGAAAATAAAATCATATCCAGGTAAGGAACTCAACCATGGGTCTCTTTTATCAAGGGGAGGGGCCTGAGGACAGAGGTGACACTAGGGTTTTCCGGGGATCAAGAAGTACACCCCGTCTACAAAGGGTCACCAGGCCCCTCCTGTGGCATAGGCTGAGATCATGTGTACAATAGTGAGACTTGGGCAGCCTAGGCTGGCACCACCACCCTCTATGGTTCCTTCTCAGCTGCAAGAGCTTAGGTGAAACACTCACTTTGGCACAGTGGTTCTCTGGAACATGTGACTAGTGATGCCACCTTGTGGAGAGAGTTGTTCGAAAATGTAACCACATATAGCTGACATTTGGTCTTTGCTAGTATGGCCTACCTTACTTTTTATTCTAATACCATGGCTGCCTTTAGTATCATATCCCCTCCTCAAGTCTTGATGTCACGAGTGAAGGTGAGCCCATGGGAAGCAGGTTTCTGCTAGGGCCACTCTGGTGGGTAGTACCAACATGGGCAACCATCCAGATTGTGTATCCTTCAACTCAAGGCTGTACACTCCTTGAGTTGGCAGTGTATTGCTGTGTGGGGTGGACCTGCTAGACACAGAAGCATTTCTCAGACCTGATCTCCCAGATTCAAAGCCCTGTGTATAACAGCCTCTACCAGAGAGGGTAGGTTAAGGACTGGAGATGAATCAGCTCCTGACTGCCGCATACCTTGTAACTCTCCTGAAGCTGCTACGGGACTCATACCAGACAAACCAGAAGTGTCAGAAGGTAAAGTGCCAGAGTCCTTTAGTGAAAGTGGCCCATATGTAGCCATCATGAACCGCTTCACACTTCCTCACTGAGTCACCCCTGGGTTTATGCCAAAGAAACCACACTCAAACCTTAGCCTCTAGGCCTGCTCTGGAGGGACCCAGCTAACTGTTTAGACTAATACAGGGGCTGGCCTCCCAAATCAGTCACAGACCATGTTGTCCCTTTCTTTACCCCCGGCTCAGGGTCTCGGACAAGCTGAAGCAGATCCCTCAAGTTGGAACAGATGCCAACAGCACCGACCCAGCCCTGCTCTTATCGGAAAATGCATCTCTCTTGTCCCTGAGCGAACTGGATTCTGCCTTCTCCCAGCTGCAGAGCCGTCTGTACAATCTCAGCCTACAGCTGGGCGTGGAGCCGGTGATGGAGGCCCAGGGGCCAGAGGCTGCAGCAGAGAAACCATCCCAGCAGGCTGGAGCAGGGCACCGGCGCCACGTGCTCCTCATGGCCACCACCCGCACGGGCTCCTCGTTCGTGGGCGAGTTCTTCAACCAGCAGGGCAATATCTTCTACCTTTTTGAGCCTCTGTGGCACATCGAGCGCACAGTGTCCTTCCATCAGGGAGGAGCCAGCTCGGCGGCCTCAGCGCTGGTCTACCGTGATGTCCTCAGGCAGCTGTTGCTGTGCGACCTGTATGTGTTGGAGCCCTTCATCAACCCGCCACCCGAGGACCACTTGACTCAATTCCTGTTCCGCCGGGGATCCAGCCGCTCGCTCTGTGAGGATCCAGTGTGCACACCCTTCGTTAAGAAGGTCTTTGAGAAGTACCACTGCAGGAACCGTCGCTGCGGGCCACTCAACGTGACCTTGGCAGCAGAGGCCTGCCTCCGCAAGGACCACATGGCCCTCAAGGCCGTGCGCATCCGTCAGCTGGAGTTCCTGCAGCCGCTGGCCGAGGACCCGAGGCTAGACCTGCGAGTCATCCAGCTGGTGCGCGACCCCCGGGCCGTGCTGGCCTCACGCATGGTGGCCTTCGCGGGCAAGTACGAGAGCTGGAAGAAGTGGCTGGCAGAGGGACAAGACCGACTGAGTGAGGATGAGGTGCAGCGGTTACGGGGCAACTGTGAGAGCATCCGCCTGTCTGCAGAGCTGGGCTTGCGGCAGCCAGCCTGGCTCCGTGGTCGCTACATGCTGGTTCGCTACGAGGACGTGGCACGCAGGCCACTGCAAAAGGCCAGAGAGATGTACAGCTTCGCGGGCATCCCCTTGACCCCACAGGTGGAGGACTGGATCCAGAAGAACACACAAGCGGCCCGGGACAGCAGTGACATCTACTCTACTCAGAAGAACTCCTCGGAGCAGTTTGAGAAGTGGCGCTTCAGCATGCCCTTCAAGCTGGCACAGGTGGTGCAGGCTGCCTGTGGCCCAGCCATGCACCTCTTTGGCTACAAGTTGGCCAGGGATGCTGCCTCGCTCACCAACCGTTCCATCAGCTTGTTGGAGGAGCGGGGCACCTTCTGGGTCACGTAGTGGAGGATGCCGGGGATCCTGGGAATCCCTTCTCGTGAAATGCTGGGCCTGCTTCCCTCACACCCAGCCTGGCAGTGAGACACAGCACTGGCAGGCAGTCAAAATGGGGAGTGGTGATATGAGCATAGGCCCTGGCTGTAGCTGTAAGGTTTCTCGCCAGCTACTTTCCCCAGTGCAGCCACAGCTAGGACCTTGGGGCTCCTCTGAGGATAGCAGTGCCCTGTCTCCTTGGTGGTACTGGTCATTCCCACACACCTTATGGCTTGCAGTGTCCCAAGCAGACTCAGGCTGGTTCCTGTGTATGGACACACCTCTCCAGCTCTGTCTCACGCTGTCACAGAAACACGTATGAAGCATATACAGGCCTGTAGGCTGTGTGGGCCAGAGTCCAAATATTTAACAACCAGAAGGGTGTAGGCCCTCTCCACTCACTCAGATCTCTTACTATATTGAGTGTTAACCTTTTCCTCTCTGAGTCAGAAAAGCCCGGGATCTGGCTGAGTCCTTGGAAGGAGGAGGGTAGCCTAGGGTGAGGAAGGGGACATTTGAAGCTCTTGAGGGGACAATGGCTGTGTACCAACTGATACAAAATGGTTTGATTATCTGCTCTGGTGACTCATGAATGAGTATCAGCCTGTGTAGAACAAGACACAGAAAGTGCCTGTAGAGACAATGCAAGCCTGGGAGTGTAGCTTGGTGGTAAAGCCCTTGCCTCTCATGCATGAGGCCCTGGGTTCGAGCCCCAGCACTAGACATATAAGGAAAAATAAGACATACACACATGTACAGCAGAGAGAGACAGCAAAGCATCATAAACTCTCTCTCACACACAATCATACACACACTGATATAGGAAGCCTTCCCCATTCTTTTTGCTTAGTGTTATTATTATTATTATTATTATTATTATTATTATTATTATTATTTGTTTTGGGTTTTTTTCTGTATCACATATCTAAACAGGAGCCTTAAATTACATTTTAGGGTTATGTGAAGAGAGGGAATATTCAGGGACAATGACACTTTGCCCTGACCAGAGCTGGAATGGAATGATAGTCTCTGACCTACCGCTGAGCATCTGGGGTTGCCATGGCTACCTTCTCTGACCCATGTACACACCACAGCTGGGAAGCAGAGTATTTGGAGATGGCATGGCCAGTCTTCGCATGTCTGTAGTCCAAAGGCCCTATATCCTGCTCACTCCTCAGGAGCCTGCCCATTTTGGAAGGCCGCCTGAGGTCTAGCCAGCAGGCCCAGCTTTGGCTCCTGAAAGCAAAAGATAGCTCATAGGCCTACTCTTTCCAACCAGCCAAGGAGGTCAGAGTGTTTTGCAGGGAAACATCACACCAGGACAAAGCTTCCCTGAGCAGCCTGCTACTTGCCTCTTAGCTGACAGAGGTCAGCCCTCAGGTTGTCATGGTTACAGCTAGTGTCTAAAAGGAATGTCTACTTTAGGGCTCTGGGAAGATGCATGCTCAGTTCAAGATGGGTGGGTATTTTATTTGTGTTTTTTAAGTTATTTATGGCTTGGTGCTGTTTTTGTTTTATGGCGGGGTTTGGCTTTGTTTCTGTAGGAACACTACTCAGTGCTGATTGAGGTTCCTGGTAAAGGGGTTGACCAGAAGGAGGGGACTTCTCCTCAGTGGCTCGAAGTCACTCAGAGTTCCCTAGGGCCCCAGAGGCTTTTCTGTGTGAACTCCATGTGGATTGATTCTCAGAAGGTGCCATTGGGCCCTAGGTCTGTAACCCAGTTTCTATAGTATTGGTGTATTATGTATGAAGCCCTGGTTTAAGTTCCCCATATCACATCAGCTAGGTGTGATGGCACATGCCTGTAATCACATGCCTGTAATCCCAGCACTCGACAAACAGAAGTTAGAGACCAAAAGTTCAAGGTGTAGCTACATACCGATTTAGAGTTCAGACTCTACAAGGAAAAAATTTAAAGCCCCAGCCTAGTGTCTCTCAGTGTCCAGGGCAGCCTGTACTGCTCCAAACAGGTTGTTTGAAAATCCCTTATAAGTCCCAACACATGGCCAAAGGAAAGGAGGGGAGGTGCAAACGCTTCTTGACTGAGCAGCTAGATTCCCCAAGGCAGAAGTTCTTCCCTCCCTATGCAACCTGAGGCATAGAACCCAGGCTAGCCTCGGAACTTCTGCAGTGGGGGTTGGGTGCCACACTGATTTTTCTGGACAGTTGCTGTATCTGGTACTAACAGAGCCCAGGACTGAGCTGATGTGAAGAATACAGACATCCCATGTGCAGTGTGAAGCAGGCATAGCCAGCACTGATGTGGGGGAAGGGACAATGGCAGGACACTCCCCATATTTTAGGGTTTGTTATCTGCCTGCTTAGCAGCTGGTCCCAAGCATAAGTGAACTTCAGAGTCAACCCAGGCAGCCACTGCTCTAGATTTTTGACAAGCCAAGAACAAGTGTGTAGACGACTGGCACCTACTTGGGGTCAAAGGGACACTGGCTCTTGGTACTTGATAGGGACATGATGTTGTGGGCAGGCTTAGGGGTACAGATATCTTCTCTCCATGCCCCCCCATGCGGAACACAATCCCTTTTCTGAACTGCATGTGAGGCGGGAGGGGCTGACCTAGGAGTTTCCTTCCATCTCCCTGTCCCAGGGGCCAAGGCCTCGTGTCTCAGCTCTCTGAGGACAGACCCCCACAATGGACCTTTGGGACTTCTCAGGACATTGACAATGTTGTGTGCACTGCAAGTTGACTTTATTTTATGGAAAGAAGAGAGGGTATTATTTGCAGGGGCCCCAAACTGTACCCTAATCAAGAAGTACAAATACTAATAACAATAATAGCAATGATTTGCATGCCACGCTCACATCAGGACACCTGAGAACCATACAGAAGATGAAACAGGACCAGCTCATGGAAGCCCAGGATGCTAAAGAGGTTCTGTGGGTCTATTATTGTTCAGAAGTTCAATACCAGGGCCCTCTTCTGTATTGCCTTTGCTCAGGTGTCTGCAGCAACAGAACAACACAGGCAGGTGTATGGGTGGGTGGATATAGCCCTAAAACACCCCCTGAGGCTCACCATCCAGGGCAAACCCTCCGGTCTGGAGAAGGACAGTGTGGGGAAAACTATTGGGCACCTTTTCAGATGATGTGCTAGAATCATGCTTAGGGGCTCTTAGCATAGGGCCTTGCTGGTGGGATGGGACCACCATAGATCTAACTCCAAAGATCAAAGGACACCCAGGTGGCCTACCACAGTAACTCCTGTCACTGGTGGCGACTGTCCATGGTGGAAGATGCACCTACTGAAAGCCATTGGCTCTCTAGCCATAAGAGGGGGTAGGGAGGAGTTAGGAGCACCAGATGGTTTTGATCCCATGCCCCCAAATCCCTCAGTTCTCTTCCACACTAGAGCCTGTTTCAGTTGACCATGGGCTTATCCCTTGAGAGATGCTGGACTCTGGAGGACAGGAGCATCCCCAAGGCAGTCTCATGTTAGTCCCACCACAAAGGCAGAGGGATGGTTCTGAGGCAGGGAGAGAAAGGGGTAGGGACCAGATCTCCAAGAATCTAAATGGGTCCTGCTAACCCGTGCACATGGGAAGAAGGGAACTTCACTAAAATCAGAGCCTGGAGCATGTGTATTGTTTGGGAAGAACCTGAGGCGTGGCTCAGCGAGATGCCAAGAGGCGGTGAGTTTCCGGAGCATAGCCACATTCCCTCCCAAGCCCAAACATTCTCTGGAATAATGGAACCATGCCTTACCTCAAAACTACAAGGCAGAGCTTGTTAGCTCTGGTGTCTTAAGAGTGTCAAGATCCTTTGACCTGTGTCCTTGTTACTATGTGAGGACAGATTTCTTATGCATTCTGAAAGATAGAGCTATGGTGCTATTTTAGGGCTTTCCTAATGCTGTGGATCAGCTTGTAACTAGGCAAACAGAACATCCGTGTCACCAGCTTCCACTATATTTGGGCTTGAACTTTGCCTCCTGTGAAGTCTCTACCTCTCCTGGATATTCTAGTCCCTGTGTCTCACCACCATCCTTCACTTCCTGGTGAGTCCCATGAATGCTACCTTTGTGCCAGTAACTGGATGCAATGTCCCGCCTCATGGCTACAGGGTACAGGACATCTCCTTCCCAGTCTGAATGGTCATGGCATGTACATGTGTGCTTAGGAGTGCATACAGGTGTACACAAGTGTGTGTGTGTGTGTGTGTGTGTGTGTGTGTGTGTGTGTGTTGTTGGGGGGTACATTCTGTTCTGCCTCCAGTGCAGCCACACACAGCCCCAGCCTCTCTCTGTCATTGACCTGGATGTTCTCATTGTGGCCACAGATAACCCTATGATACTGGGTTCTGTCGCTCTCATTTGAGAGTTGATAACCCCGTGTTCAGAGCCTGCTTCATGGACTGGAATGTGAAACTCTTCTATTGGTGGCTTGCCTGACATATTTAATTAAAAACAAACATGCAGTAAATTCTGTAGCAATTCTTTCCTTTTGTTTTTAGTAGTAATTGAGTCATAAAAATGAACAGAAGAAAAACCATTCACAGGAGTGAGAAAGATGTGACTTACATAGTGACACTTTCCCACCCACTCCCAGTGGCCAGAGGCCCAAGAGGAGCGTGGGTGGGTGTACATAGGTGCCAGGGTCTGAAGAATGTCACTTATGGTCCCAGGACAGTGGGTCTGGTGACCCTGCTTGACAGCACCAGATGGAATCATGACACCAGAGACACTCAGATATTATGGGGCAGAGACAGGAGCATGGACCCACTATCAGAGAGTCTGGTGACAAGGCCCAACTTTGTCACGGTCTGACCTCGGGCAAGTCACTTATCTGGGTTCATTTTCATTTAGGAATGAAATGTGTGACTTCTCACAAACATTGTCACCGAAAGCCTTGTTAGGGATTTAAAAGTCATTTACAGGACTGATTCGCCCATTTTTACATGCAAAGACACTACTTGGGGCTTCATTCTGCCTTCAACTAAATAAGCATCAACAAGCC